CCCTCTCTGCCAAAGCGGCCTCTGTTGGTGGCTGCCTTCCTGCCAGCCAGAGGGCAAACGCCAAGCCTTGCTTGTCAAATAAAGCGTAAATAAAACTCAGCAAGCTAAACACTTCTATGTGTGTTTCCTCATTCCTCTCCTGAAGAGGCTGCCCCCTCCGGCTGTGCTGGCTATCTTGCTCTTCCTGGGTCGAGTGGTCCTTCCTCCCTCACAGGTACTCGGCCTGGCACTCCTGGTGGTGTTGGCTCTCTGGGCCCAGCCCAGCAGAACCTCTTAAGTCCCCCGCCTTTCTAGCAGTAAACCAAAGGGGCTCACAAGCACCTCTTAATTTCAAAATAAATAAAATGCTCTCGCTCAGAAACTCAAGAAAATGCGCCCTGTTTCATCCCCTTCCCTGGAAGAGGCAAGACCTGGAAATAACTAGTTGAGAAGTTATTAAATTGTCCGATTGATGACTTGAAGGGTTGACGAGCAAAATAACTTTAATTGCACAAGATCCTGGAGGCCTGAAGGTCAAACGTCACTTTCCCACTCTGGGCTGTGGTGAAACCAGGGGCCTGACTGGATCCAGTGCCCATAAAGGTGCCAGCCCATCTCAGCCACCGGACTGTTGCTCTCCTGCTGCCTGAAGGAAGGTGGAGCGCCTGTCTTTTGAGGAGAATAAAGCCGAAAAAGGAAGCAGCTCCCGAAACGCTGCTTGGAGGGCACCTGATGCTTCACCACTTGCTGGCAGGTGAGCTGTTGGGTGTGAACAGTCAGGCCTTGTGTCCTGCCCGGTTGGGATTTGCAATATGGCTGCAAGCCTTTGAACTGCTCCAACCTTGCCCTGCTCTCACCTTTGGGCTACTTTTTTGGAGGGGGTGGTCTGGAAGTCCCACAAGTCAGCACAGTTCTTCAGCTGCCTCCGGGTAATTGCATAGGTGGGTAAGCCAACCAGAGCTGCAGGAGCCCAAGAAGAGGAAAAGCTGCGCTGAAATCGCTTTTATTCCCAATTCCCAAGGGGTCATCCCAATCAGAGTTGGGGTTGCAAATGCCAGAAGGGGGACTCTTGTGTCTGACGGGATCCCCAGGCTGGCTCAGGGGCCTCCTGGGGAGTTTTTCATGCTAGATTAACCGAAGGCAAATTAATCATAGCCCCCTCCCCAATCCCACCCCCCCCCCAAGGGCGGGGTGGGGGGAAAATCAGCGCGTTATACCAACCCAGGGAGAAGAGCGCGCTCCAGGGGAGGGAAAGGGGCTTCCTGAGAACCGCAAAGGCCGCTCCCGTACCTGCAGGGGGAACAAGCAAGAGGCTCAGGCCAGCACCTTCAAGGCAGCACGGATTAGCCTCCCCGCCCGCTTGCCCTTCTCTGTTTATCCAGGCGCAGCCCAAGGACACCCCCTCCTCCCCGGGACCCCCCTGGGCAGTGAGGGCTTACCCACGGCGAGCACGGCCAGTCCCTTCAGGCGCACGTAAGCCTGGCACAAGGCGTACTCCTGCAGCGCGGAAGAGACGCCGCGGGTCAGGATCGCGGCCCACCAGCGGCGGCCCCCTCGCTCGCTCCAGACTTCTGGAGCTGCAGCGTCCCTTGCTCCGCTGCGCGCTGCCCGCCCGTCCCACGGCCGAGCCACTCACTCACCGGGTTGGCTGCTGCGTCGGGCGGCATGGCTTCTTCCCTTCGCGGGCGGCCGGCGGCCAGAGCTCCCTCTGCAGGGCCGGCGGAGGCGGCCGGAGCAGCCTCCTCGGCCGGTAGGCGCCGCTGCCAAGCCGGGTCTTAGCGGGAGCCCACCCACCGCCCCGCCACAACTCTTGGCGCGGCGATCGGGAGCGGCCGCGATGGCGCCGCTGCGCGTGGTGAGCCACGGAGGGCGGCGGTTCCTCTGCTTCTGCGGGGACGGTGGCGCCTCTCCGCGGCTGCAGTAAGTGCTAAAAAGGGGGGCGCTTTGGCGTCGGGACCCCCTTGCGCTCGGGATCCGCCCGGGGCAACCTCTTCCCCGGCCCTGAGCCTGTGCAGAAGGCCCCTTAACGCTGCCCTCTCCCCATTCTCAGGCGCTCCCCCTTCTCTGCCACAGTTATTCTCGGATCTGGATGCTGGCATCTCCTCCCCTAGGAGGGGGAAGAGTCCAGCCTGGGAGGCCCCCCTCCCCCCGCCCTCCCCCCCGCCTGTTTCCCCCCGCCGGGGTCCTGCCAACGAGAAGCCCCTTTTGGCCAACCGCCTCCCTTCATCCCTTCCTTCCTTCCTTCCTTCCCTGCCCGCAGGCTGACCGACGCTTGCGACTTCTGGAGCTGCAGCGTCCCTTTGGAGAAGCTGAACGGACAGGTGGGGAGGGTCCCCTGGGCTACCTTTATGGGTCTGGGGTCCTTTGCGTTCCCTCCCTGCGCGCGCGCGCGCCCGCCCGCCCTAGAGTTGACTGCCGTTTCCCCTTCGCGCAGGAGGAGCCCGGCTCTGCCGCCGACAGCCTCTCCAGACTGCGGTGAGTGGGCTGCTGGCCATGGTTCTGGCTCCCTCCCTCGCTTCCCAGGACGGATCCCGCAAGGCAAGGAGGGCTGCTCGCCCGCTTTTCTCCTTCCCTCCTGGCTAGTTCAGCCGTTGGTGGCTCCCCCATTCGAGGCCGTTGAGCGGGAAGGCAGCTGGAAGGAAGGCAGCTGCAGAAAAATGCCAGGCCTGGCGGAGAGGTGGCGCCCTTTGTTTTTTTTATGCAGGCCGAGTGCCCAGATCCGGAAGAGAATCCGCTTCCTTGGCCTCCTGCTTTGGAATCGTTGCAATCCTCTCCCAGTTCTGCCTCCTGGCACCTCCCGGGCACTTCACGGCAGCGCCAGTTCACGCTTCCGTTCTTTGCAGGGAAATCTTGCAGGGCCAGACGCCCATCCTCACCCTCCAGGACGGCAGGGCTACGCTTCAGGTCCAGAACGGTGACCAGAGCGTGACCTTCGACCTGGACAAAGCCTCGGTCCCCGAAGCCAAGAGGCAGCTGCAAGACCTCACTTTCGGCCTGGTGGAGCAGCTGCAGGCGCTGGAGAAACGCCTGGAAGGTGCAGCCGGGGTCTTGGAGAGGGCTTGGGCAGGGGGCAATGTGCCCATCAGGGAAGCAAAGCCTCCCCCCCTATTAAACAAAAACTAGGGAGCCGCAGCCATCAACGCAGAAAGAACTGGGCTTTTTTCCTAAGGAAAGGGGCCTGGAGAAGTGCAGGGCTCAGTGGCCGTAAAAAGAGGGGAGGGGAAGGCAGAGAACGGGCCTCTGGGGGTTTTCCTACATGGCTGAAGCGCCTGTTTAAATTCTGTAGAAATTGCTGCCCAAGGCAGCTCATCTGAAGGAACATTTTGCCCAGCCCAAATATGGCCCAGGGGGTTGGGAAAGGCCCCTTCTGGCCTGGAGGATTCCCAGGCTCAGGGGGCACCGGGGCCTGACTGCTTCCCCTCTTCTTCCTCCTCCCCCAGAGGTCGCAGCCGCTGCCACCTCCGTGGCCCTCAGGAGCCCTGAGAAGGCCTCAGCGAGCCAGAGACTCTTGGGAGCAGGTAAGATGCGGGAGGGTGCGCTTCCGCCCCTCCCAGTCAAACCAGTCTGGAAGAGAGAGGCGAAAAAGATGACGCAAGCTGCCCCCAGCCCCTCCCTTTCAAAAGATCTGGCTTCCCAGGCCAGAAAAAAACAGATGGCAGGAACCCAGTTGCACTCGTGCCTGAACCTTCCAAGGGCCAAGGTGGTTTTTCTCAGGGAGAAAGGGTCCCTGGGTCAGGCCTCGGCCAGTGTTGGGTGCCACCCTAGGGGGCCTCTCTGCTCCCTCTTTGGATCCCCCAAATGGCTGGAAAAGTAGCAATTCCCCCTGAATAGCCCCCCTAAATCTGGGTTATCCGAGGAAGATGCTACTGTGATTTCTCTGCGCCCCACAGACTTCAGTCCGCGGAAGCCCAGAGGAGGGGCTGGTCCAAGCAAGCGGCGCCTGCCTGGAGAGTCCCTCATTAACCCTGGATTCAGAAGGTAACGCAGGGGATGGGGCTGACCCATCTCTGGGAGCCTCTCCGGCGAGGGGCACATCTGCCTTCCGTGGTCCATGCCAATTCCGGAAACCTCGCTGGCTGTTGTGGTTATCCGGTAGCAGGGTGGGCGGCTGAGGAGAGCGAGGACTCAGATGAGGGGCCAGGACCATCAGGGAGTGGACTGCTGCCTTCAGAGATTGTGGGGGCTGGCAGCAGCAACGAGGAGGTTCCCGAGGAGCCTGTGCCAAGTGCGCGTGCGCGAAGGGCTGCTCGTAGGAGAGAGCAATTACAACAGCACGGGCGACTCGGGAGTAAGGCTGCAAGGTAACGGCCTCTCCTTCAAGAGGATAAAAGCCAGCTGTGAATCAGACGTTCTTTGCAGGAAGCAAAGACGTTTTGAAACTCAGCCTCGTGGACATTGCAGTATCTTAGTTGGTATTTGGAGACTCTTGTGTTGTCAAATATTTCTTATCTGTGATTCTTGGCAGCCTCGCACGGTTTTGGCGAAGCTCGTGCTTATCAAAGTTAATTAGTTTGCAGCAGCCTTTTAACCGGGGATTCGTAAGAATCATTCAAATCAGAGGTCTCATTCTCGCGGCCTGCGGGCCAATTGCAACCCGCAGGACAATATCCTGTGGCCCCCACCGTGATATGAAAGTATAATATTAGTGTATAATATAAATATAAAGTATAATATAAAGTATAATATTATGCGGCCCAGCCTCACCCAGACTCTGCCTCCAGCAGCCCCCAGGTAAATTGTGTTTGAGACCCCTGATTCAAAGGTTTCTATTCCCCTTTGGTTCGTGGTTGTTTTATTGGGAAAGGGTCAGTGGGTCAGAACACTGGTTCCATTGGGGGGACCTTTGGGGTCCTCAGCGGTGCCTTTGGTTCTCAGCCCTGTTTCTGGGGCTTTGAGGAGAGTTTTGGTCAGTCCAATAATGGGATGGGAGAGGCGCCTCCTTGCAGGTGCTGGACATGAATTCCTATCCCTCCCAATGAGTAGGGGATGATAGGCGCGCAGATCCAGCATATCTCAGAGCTTCCCGGCAGCTTCCTTCTCCCTGCCGGTCAGTGCCCACTCCTTCTGGGGATGGCAGTGGTGAGCTCCCTGCCAGGAGGGGGGGGCTCAGCAGAATTAGGGAGGGGAGGGGCGTTTGAAGGCGGGAAGGATGCTTATACGGGGCTTCTCTTTCGCTCTAGCAAGAAGACCCCGACGGGAGTCGACTTCGAGGATGCCTGAACCGCTTTCCCAATCAAATGGGGAAAAAACTGCTTCGTCGCGGGTGTTTTTTAAAAAAAATTATTTAAGCCTTAGAACTATACCCAGTATATTTTTTTATATGTATTATATAGAATGAAGGGCTCTCGTTGACAATAAATGCTTGATTTTACTCACTTTCCGGTTTGTTCTTTCTGGGCCAAATTCTTTGTAGTGTGTGTGTGTGTGTGTGTGTGTGAGGGGAGAACAGAAGTTGAGACTGGTGGGAGTAAATTCTACTGGTGTGTAGGGAGTTTAGACAAGAAGGGAGAGAATATTTCAATTCTAACCGATTCTCCAGAGAAAGAAGTCTGGGGTACAAAAAATCGACGGATTTTAAATTCTCTGTTGATATATTAAGCGTCTATTTAATTTTGGGGAAAAGACATTTAAAGCATTGGACATTTGGGGGAGGAGGGTATTGCACTTAAAAAGAGCCATGGGTGAAGAGAGGAGGTGGAAATGCAGACATGCTCTGACACACATACACCCGAGAGCCAGCCAGGGGTTTCTCACAGCTTCAGGTGAGCTCAGAAGCCCCCAGACTCACTTCAAGGCCATCATTGCAGGCGTGAAGGGAGCTGACTGTCCTCGCTCAAATCTTCTGGGCTGAGGAAGTGAGCGGAGCCCTCCAGAGAAGAAAGGAAGGTTTGCTAGCCTGGGACCACCACATTGGCACATTGGCACAAGGGTAGGGCCAGGGCCCGGCTCCATTGCGTAGCACCCACTGCCTTGGCGGGAGGGAAGACGGTGATGCTGGACGCACCTAAAGACCGTGCCCACGGGGGTCCCACGGATCTGGACCTGCCCTGCTTGCTTCCACCTTGAGTGGCTCTGAGAGAGAGAAAGAAGAGGTGCCCAGGGGGATGCCAGGCAGAGCTAGCCAGCCTCCAACTTTAGCCCCCAGGGGGCTATTAGGGCTGCCTGACTACGCCGTGGTAGGCCTGGATGATCTCTTCGGGGTTGGGACAGGTGTACTGGAACTCCTTGGTCTCGGTAGAGCACTCCAGGTAGCGCCCGATGCCCCGCAACTCTCTGGGGATGCCCGCCTGGCGGTGGTGCTGGCATACAACCTGCAGGAGAAACGGGGGGGGGGGGGGGAACGACACACACACACACACAAAATCAGCACCTCCCGGAGCCGAGGGTGGCAATGCCATCCGTCCCTTAATTCCGCTGACTTTTGTTTTAAAAGATGAACCCAAACTGGAAGGTCGAGATTCCTGGGATAACAAATTTTGTTTGTGCTGCCGCTTTGGGATAATTATGGCTCCGTGGAGGGTGGGGTGGCGGAAAGGCTTCTCCTTCCTTGAATACGTTAGGTGCTTCCAGAGGAGATGCGGGCGGGGAATTCGGCCCCGGGAAATGCCCGGGGGGGTGCCCAGAGTAGCCGCTGGGGAAGGGAGGGGAAGGGAGGAAAGGGGGCTCTCCCGGTCGACTCACATTGACGATGTTGAGTTTGGGGAGCAGGTTGCAGTCGGCCAGGGTCATCTGGTCACCATCCAGGAACCGCCGGCGGGAGATGACCAGCTCCGGGTCTCGCACCTGCTCGTAGGGCAGAGGGGTGTTCAAGTATTGGTCCAGCTTACGGAAGGCCTTGAGGAGGGCATGGAGCAAAGCTGTGGGGAAAACACCCGAGGGGGTTTAGCCTCTGGGGCAGACAGATAGACTGCTTCTAAGGTGGGGGGCTTGATCTGCTACAGGCCTGAGCTTCTAAAGATGCCCCCATTCTAACGGGTGGGTCTGTCGCTTGACCACTGGCTGGACCATCCTTCTTTAGGGCCCTTTTGCTGGTGGACCCCTCCCCCACCCACCCACCCCCGCTGCCCATCTGGGCTGCCACTCAACTCTCTGACCAAGGGAAGATTTTTGGCCTGGCTCCCCTGCAGGGAAGGGACTTTGTCTTGTCTTGCACTGCCCTCCCCCACTTTGTCCCAGGGTGCAAATTTAAGGGAAGATAGCTGGGCCTCCAGGCCTCAAATGAAGCCTCAGTGGCTCCAACAGGGTCTTTCTCTGAGTCCCCCAAAGGACTGGGACTCAGCGAAGGGCCTTGGCACGAGCTACCTAGGGAGGGTGGGGGGTGGGGGGTTGTAGTCCGAAGCCCCTTCCCTCTCACTTTCGTCCTGAGCTGGTATCGGGTTCTTGATGTAGGCAGAGAACCTGTGGAAGATGTCATTCCCGGCTAAGGTGGACTCCGCGTACTTGGGTGCCAAGTTGGGGAACCTGTGGGGTAAAAAGTAGAGGAATGCTGACTGCCGCGGCTCCTTGCCTCGGTCTCCCCCATCCACACAACGGGCAGAATCCTGCCTTGCCTTTGAAAAGACCCAAAGGAGAGCAGGCGGGACCCTCTTGCTTCTCTTCCCTCCCCCTCAACCCACCCCCAGAAAGAGTTGGCTCCAGCCCCTCACTGGTGGGGCACGGGGGAGGGCACTGCTTACTCAGGAGGTTTCAGGGTCTCCTCCAGAAACTCTTCGATCCTGATGGTGTCCGTTTTGGGGTCTCCGTCATAGAGCAGGACAGGCAGCTGGGCTCCCGGGGCGAAATCTTTCAGGACATCCAGGGACCTGTGAGGGAGGGGGGAATCAAAAAGGGGGCTGAGCCTGGGAAATGGAGGGCCCCCCAACCTCTTTCTGTATCCCCACAAGGGACAATCCCAGGATCCAGGAACACCCAGAGCCTTCTTTTTCAGATGCAGCCGCCTAGCAGCCCCCAAACCCAGACACACACACACCCCCACCAGATTCTAGGGCAGCTTTTCTAGCCCCACAGCCCCAAGGTGGGTGATGCAACAATCCCCATCACCCACCAGGGTTTTTTTGGGGGGGGGGATCAAAGGGGAACTGCCAGAGGCAGATTCAGCATTGCCAACTCTCAGCAGGCAAGAGGCCGGCCCGTCCTTTGGCCCTTACCTCTTGGTGTCCACGGTGGTCAGCGTGAAGGGGACCCCCTTCAGCAGCAGGACCATGAAAAGGCGCTGGCAGAAGGGGCAGTGGCCTATGGTCTCTCCATCAGCGCTGGCCTGAGTCAAGAGGGGGTCAAGAGTAAGGCAGTTTGGGAGGAGAAAGGAGCTCCTGGGAACCCCCAATGCCCTTTTGGGCAGACCAGGGTTAAAACCGACATGCCTTGGTTTCCTGACACAGCATCCACTGAACGTACGGGACTACAAATCCCACCCTCCCAGCCAGGACCGTGCCGGTGAAGTAGATCAGCCAGCAGAAAGACGCCTTTTGAGCCTTTCGCTCTGCTGTCAAAACTCTCACTTCAGTCCAGTTTCAACACCGATCGATTCCCTCTTTGTAGGCAAGTTCTTCTGGGGTCAGGCGTTGATGGGATGGGAGGGTGGTTCGGCCGAGAGCCCACCCCCCCCCACCCCACCCGGCCTGGCTCTCGGCTGTGATCGGATCCAAAACCGAGGTTGGCAGCGTTTCAGGTTGGCCGAGAGAGGCTCCCTCCGCCAGGACGGCTGCCTCAGGGCAGGGATTTGCCAGTTTCATTTTGCGAAATGGGATTTGGGCAAAGCCTCCCTCTGAGCACAACGCAGAAAGATCCCTCCGGCCCCAAGTAGGGGGGGAAAGGACCGGTGCAGCCCCCCCCCCCCGTCTGTGGAAAGAGAAGGTGCGCTCGGGACTGTCCAGCCCCTCCCTGCCAGGTGCACCCTCCCCCCACTGGAGGGATTGCAGGTCCCTTCCGGCCAGATGTTGAAGGAAAAGCGTGACCAGGAATGTCCGGATGGCAGCTGGACCCAGAGGAAGCAGGGGCGATAGGCACACGGGAGACCCCATCCAGACACAACCTGCTCCACGGCCAGAGGCCGGAGCGGGCCAGGAGAGCTCAGTCCACTCTTCCCTTCAGCTTATGGGCTCTCTGGCAATTCGCTTAGCGGACGAAACCATGTGGAGGAGCCTTCCTTTGGGTCTCCAATTGGGGATGTTGGCCACACCATGGAGCATCCCAACCCAAACAGCAGAGGGAAAGAAGGGTGAGCCTTACCTTGACGAAGAGCTGGATCCTGGAACCCTCCGCCATCCTCTCTCGGCCCCAGCAGGGAAAGCTGCCCAGCAGCCGTTCGGATCTGCGTTATAAATCCGACACACCCTCTCGTCAGCTTCACCAGCCACATTCTTTCTCCCTCGCCTCCCAACGCCCTGTTTCCACAGCCACCCAATCCCGGGCACTCCCTAGTTCCTTGGGTGGCAGCATCAGAAGGGCAGAAGTGGAGCCGAGGGTCCCTGGGAAAGCCCCCCCCTCCCTCCCCCATCACGGGGCATCACAGGCCGTGGTCCGCTGAGGTCCTCTGGGTTGAAAGCCACCAGAGGAATCTGGGCAAAACTAGCATTGGGATCATGAGGGAGGAAGACGCCATCCTGCCTCATTGGTTTGGTAGATATTGGAGTGGCAGGTTTTGGCCGAGTTTTGCAAAGAGTAATTAAAAAAAGAAAAGAAAAGGGGGTGGTGGAAAAGAGATGTTTTTTTCCCCCACTACCACGTTGATCCCCAAGGTCCATACTGTATATACCCTTCTCGTCCTTCTCAGGGTGGGGTTGAATTTACAGCGAGATCCTTTGTGTGTGTGTGTGTGTCAGGCTGGGCTCAGGGCAATGGAGGAAGCCTTGCAAAAAGTTGGCATGGGTCATTGGCTGGAGAGCAGCGGGGACCCCATGTTTCAGCCCCCCCCCTTGGCCCAGCCACACCCCTCCCAGTGACATCTCCTAATCCCATCTCCTGGAAACCCCAGGCCTGGGGCCAGCCAGAACAAGGCGTCTCTCCTTCTGATAAACAACAACAACAACCCGAATCACTTGCCCAGCGCTCGCTGGTTTTTGGCTCCTCAGAAGGCAGAGAATGAGGTCCACACTTCTGGGAATATAATAATAGCAACTGTATTTCTACACAGGAAGACAATTCCGCCCCTCTCCCGTGAGATTTAGGAGGTATTTCCCAGCGTGGGTGTAATTAAACCCTCGGCTGGATGGCTCTGTTGCAAATGCCCGCCTGCCACACCCAGGACTGAGGGACCGGGTTCAAACCAACCCACCCATGCTTCCCAGCCTGTCTTGATTAGGGGGGGGGGGGAATGGCTTAAGAAACAAAACACAGGTGAGTGAAAATTGTGGATATTCCAAGACAATAAAAACATACAGCAACACAATGGGCTGAACCAAGACTCCACCACTTTACAGGAGCGATGCTGGCGTCGCCCTTACAGCCACTCACCCCCTGCCTGCCTGGCAGCAACTCCTGCCAAGGCAAAAACTCGTGGCATCCCCTTCCAGGATGGCTTTTGGGGTGGGCTTCGTTCTTTGCTCAGCCTTGCAAAGCAAATCCCCCCACCCCGCAAAAAAAAAAATCTCTGCCGAACAACAATCGGTTAGGATCACTTTTTTATTAAAACAATAATTATTTTTCACATTGGCTTTTCCGGTCCTAGCAACATACAGGCTCTTTGCAAAAAGAGAGCAAGCTGCACTCCCCCCCGGGGGGGAGGGGCTCAGCATCCCCCAGTCAGGGCCGGAGGGGCCTTGCAGACCTCGGCCAAGGGGGCCCCTGGCTCACCAGAGTCCTCCCCAGCTGGCTCCTCTTTGCAGGCGGCCTGATGTGTCCCTTTGGGCTGGATGTCCAGGGCCCGTTTTCAGCCCCATCCTGGGGGGAGCCAGAGAGGCAAAGACCCACAGCTATTGGGGGCAGGGGGGGAAGAGCGAGCCCAGCACCGTCCAATCACACCGCCTAGGCTCACTCTCTCGTCCAGCCCCCTCCCCGGTGCTCCAATAAGTTAAAAAAAAAACAACAACATTGTGCTTGCTAAGCCGAAAATAAACCGATGCAATCTTTTGTCTAAAACCTTTCTCTTTCTCAAAATACAATTTACACTCGTTCTGTGCTAAGAAGCTGCCGAGTTGAGAAGGAAGCCATCCTTGCTCTGGGCCCAAAGGTTCCCCCCACATCCTTTCGGCACCCCCTCCTCTTCATTTGAGGGAGCCCTGCTGGCCTCTTGGCTTTTCTGGAGGTCGGTGCAAACAGGACAGCCCGGAGAGGAGGAAGAGAGCAAGTGCTGCAGGGGGGAAAAGCGGTGCCGTTCCCCACCAGGAAAGGACGGGGTGGTGCACCATGGACCGGGCGTCTGCAGCCCCCCGCCTTCGATTTCAGACTACATCTCCTATCTTCCCAAGCCACCTGCTGGGGCATCAGGAGGTAGAGTCCCACACATCCGGGGCCATTCCAGATGCTGCTGGAGAAGACCCTCACGATCCCACCGGATGCTTCCGATTCATGCCATGCCAGGTTAGGACGCAAGCGGAGGAGTGGAAAGATCCTGCCCCACAGCCAGAAAGGAGTGGGGGGAGGCTCCTGGGAGCCTTTCAGTCCTGTTACTCGATGCTTTAAAAAGGAGATCTGGTAGCAAAAAGATCCGAGCCTGGTTAGAGGAAGCAGACACTCTCCTTGGGCTGCTTTTGGGGTGAGGGGATGCGGGGGGGAAGGGACGGGACTGGCCGCCTTCTGAGCAGGACGCCCAGATGACCAGCCCTGTCCGAGCCTTCATGCAGCTGGCAGGGGGGCTTTGGTCCCTGGGCCGAGTGAGAGAGGGGAAAGAGGAGGGAGGTATGTCCCGCAAGGGATCGACAAAGCCTCCCGACTTGTTCCAGGAGGATCCACTGCCTTCGCCCTTCCTGCTTCCCTTTGGCCGGAGAGGCTGACGGCGCCCAGTCATCCACCCAGCAAGGCCAGCTGCCCTCCGCAGTCAGATTCCAGCACAGCCCGGCAGAAGAGGCCGTGCGGTACGAAACAGCGCAGTCCCTCCAAGGACGAAGGCCCAAAACTGTGGAGGGGGGGGGGGGGGGGGGGGGTCAAGCCGCTCTGCTGCATAAGCGCCCTTCCTCGAGTCTTTTCACGCAACCGGACGGCGGCATGCCCGGTCCTTGGCCATCTGCAAGACGCCCCAAGGCCAGCTCCATCCAGGGCAAGGCCTCTTCTCGCCACACCTCTGGGACGTCACTCGCTGGGCAGAGAGGATGGCAGCCACCAAGCGGGAAGGGGCGAGGGGCTGCCCAGCCAAGGGAGGGGGCTGCATCCCCTCCGTTTTCAGCAGAGGGTGTCCGTGTTGAAGGAGAGCTGAGCCTGGAGGGGGGGGCGGGAGAGGAGGAGAAAAGAGCGAAGGTAACGAATGCTGCTTCCCCTCCCCCCCTCAGGCCTCGTTGCCCCCTGCATGGCCAGCCCCCTCCCCCCACTCCCGCGCCCGGCTCACCCTCTCCTCCTCAAAGCTGATCAGCCCCTCGTCATCCGTTTCCAAGTCCTCGGGCTCCTCAGCCACCATGGCGCGCAGCTCCGTCGGGGTCCCCCGGGGCCGCAGGAGGCTGAGGAGGCGCTGCAGAGGGGACTCGGCGGAGCAAGTCAGGAAGCTCTCCTGCTGCTCCAGGTTGTCGCTCTGCTTCTTGGCAAAATTCACAAACACCTGCAAAGGAGGCCGCAACTAAGGCTGGAGCCCAAGAGTCGCCTCCCTCCCGCCCCCCGGCCTGGGATTAGGACAGGAAGGGGAAATCGGGGGTCTTCCAAGAGGGACGGGCGTTTCCCCACTATCCCCAGCCGGCCAATGACGCCGGAGTCCACTCGTCGGACGGAAGAGGGCGGCCAAAGGGAAAGCGGGGACCCCGGTGGGCCCTCACGTTGTCCAGCGTGGTCTGGCTGACCGAGTAGTCCTCAATGCCCAGGACGTCCACCACCTGCTCCATCTTGCTGAAGACCTGGGCCAGCGAGATGTGCTCGGACTTCAGCTGGTACTGGACCTTGGTGTGGTGCCTTTCCTGGGGGAGGGGAGGGGCAAAGGCAGGGAAGGTCAGTGCCTCCTCCTCCTCCAAGATGACACCCCCCACCCCACCCCCAACAGTGGCCCAAACCTTGAGGACGGCCTCCGGGAAGTTGCGGCTGAAGAACTGAGCCACCTCCTTCACGTTCAGGCTGGACTTGGTCCTGACGGTGATCATATAGCCATCCCCAAACCTGTCCAGAACAAAGGGGGGGGGGAGGGGAGAGAGGGGGAGCCTGCAAGAGCCGCTCTCCTGCCCAGCAGTGGGGAAGGGAAGTTACAACTGCCCTCCGGGATGGGGGGCAGCTAAGCGGGGTGAGAGGCCCCTGCCTCTAAAGGGGCCGGGAGAGCTTTTCCTCTAGGACTGGCACACTCAGGGGGGTCTGCTCCACCTCTGGGCGCTGCCCCCAGGCCAGGACCGAGAGCTCCGTCAGGCTTGGCCAGCGGGGGAAGCCGCTGCCAGGGGCTCACGTGCTCTGCCGCCCACCCGGCGCCCTGGGCTCACCGGTTCTTCAGATGCTGGATGCTGCCCAGACACTTGAGGCGCCCGTTGACCATGATGGCCAGCCGCGTGCAGAGGGCCTCGCACTCTTCCATGCTGGGGAAAAGACGAGCACAGCTGAAAGGAAGGGGCAGCCCCTCCCCAAATGGCAGAGGTGGGGGTGGGTGGGGACACAGCTCGCCCATCGGCTTTTAGCCGCCCAGCAGCCGCTGCCACCTTACTCACCCACACCCCTGGAGTTCCAACATCCGGCCCACCTCTCTTGTGTCCAGCCTACCTGTGTGACGTCAGAACCACGGAGCGGCCCGTCTTGATGATGTCCAAAATGAGGTTCCAGAGGAAGCGTCGAGCCTTCGGGTCCATGCCGGTGGTGGGCTCATCCTGTTGCAACAGAGGGGACCGGGGTTAGGATTAGCCCCAGGCTGGCGTCAAAGCACCAGAGCAGAAGAGGGACGTGTCACCCGTCACCCTCCAGCCCCACCTTCGCTGCTCACCAGGAAAATGAAGGCCGGGTAGCCGATCAGTGCGATGGCGGTGGACAGCTTCCTCTTGTTGCCACCACTGAAGGTGCTGGCGGGCTTGTTGGCACATTTAGCCAGCTCCAGTTTCTTCAGCGCCCACTTGACCACCTGGGTTGGGAAGGAAGAGGGGTCTCACACCCACAAAGAACAGCCCAGCAGCAGCCGCAGGCGGGACCACAGAAGGCCCACCTGACCCAGTCTCTGTCACCGGCCAGGGAGTCCCTGCAGAGGGCGTTGCCCTTAGCCCTTTCTGCCTTATGGGGGTGAGTTCCACCGACTCGTGGTCTACACGGAGGCGGCGGCAGCGGCCTTCTCCTCCTTAAGGAAAAGTGCCTGTCCTTCTGCCTCACCCGTTCCTCATCCTTCCACGGGATGCCACGCAGCCGGGTGTAGAGCTCCAGGTGCTCTTGGGCCGTCAGCTCGTCGAAAAGGGCGTCGAACTGTGGACAGTATCCCAGACTCTGCTGGACCTGCAGAAGCTCCTTCAGGATGCTGTGTGGAAAGCGAGAGCTGGGCTCAGCACAAGGCGAGGCCCCTGGAACCAGAGGTAGAATTCAGACGGTTCCGAGCGGTTTTGGAGAACCGGTTGCGGAAACTGTGAGTAGTTTGGAGAACCGGCCAATCCCACCTCTGACTGGCCCCGCCAACCCCCATCTCTTCTCCGCCTCCCATTGAGTCCCAGCGGATTGGCTGGGTCTTCTTTGGTTGCCCTGCCCAGGAGAACGGAGCTGCAAAGCAGGTTAGTGGGGTGGGGAGGGAAGGGGGATTTTGCAGTATGCTTCCCCTGCCACGCCCACCAAGCCACATCCACAGAATCGGTAGTAAAAAAAAATTTGAATCCCACCACTGCCTGGAACCCCCTCCAGAAAGGCTGGGTGGGGGCCACTGCTCAAAGCGGACAGCAATGAAAGCAGAGAACAAATGAATTTAGGGGGAGAAATACAATCACATCAGATCAGCATTCTAACATGTAGCAGGAAGGCACAGCCTTCTTTCCGTGGTGCTTCCCTGCAATGAGTAAATCAGAACACTGCCTGCCCATGGAGGCTCCGTAGGCCTTCACACATCTTGGGCCTTGCTCTGTGTGCAAATCACCCCACTTTAACGCTGGGATGCCAAGTTCCCAAGATATTCCAGGGGAAAAGAAGGGAATAAAAAAAAAAAACAGCTCCGGGTGCAGGAATTGAGGTCCCCACCTCTGGATGCCCAACCCACCTGTGCCCGTTAATGAAGGCCTCGCCGTTGGTGGTGGTCTCGTCCCCTGTCAGCATCTTGAAGGTGGTGGTCTTCCCTGCCCCGTTGACGCCCAACAAGCCGAAGCACTCCCCTGGCCGGACGCCCACGCACAGCCGGTCCACGGCCAGGATGCGCCCAATCCTGCGCGATTTGTACACCTGGTTGCCCGGGGAGGGCAGGAAAACATCCGTCTCAGCCTCCGTGACAAAAGGGCACCTGCTCCACCTCGGGGCATTCCCACCTGCACAAGGCACACATACCCTCCCCCTCAAACTCTCTCCTGTCTCCAAATCTCAGCTGGTTCAGGGTTCAGACCTCGCTCCCTTTAAGCCCCAGCCAAACCTGCCTCGGATGGACCTCCTCCTCCCTCTCTCCCTTCTCTCTCTCCCTCCGCTCTCTCTCCCTCCCTCTCCCTCCCTCTCTCTCCCCCTCCCTCCCTCCCTCTCTCCCTCCCTCCCTCTCCCTCCTCTTCCTCCCTTCTCTCTTCTTCTGCTCCCTCTCTCCCTCCCTCCCTCTCTCCCTTCTCTCTCTCTCCCTCCCTCTCCCTCCCTCTCTCCCTCCCTCTCTCTCTCACACACACACCTTGGTGAGGTTCTCAATCTTGAGCATGTCGTTGTCGGCGTCCCCACGCAGAACTCGCTGCCGCTCGGCGGCCACGTCCACGTCATCTTCAATGGGTTTAGTGGACACGGGGAAGCGCCTGGATGGGGGGGTGGGGGCAGGATGGTGCAAATAAGTCATTTTTCCAATAGGAGGCTCAGCTCAGTGTCGTCGTGTCCATCTTTCCCTCCCCGGCACGGGTTTGCAGGACTGCAATTCCCACCTGCCCAGCCAGGAAAATTCTCGCCCCCCACCCCCCAAAAATAATCTCCCTTCTGGGCACACTTGTTGGCACACTCACTGTGGTTTTCGGAGAAAGTTGTACTGGCACATGATGGTGATGAAGAAGCCGACGAAGCCTTCCACCGTCATGGCGACTAACGCTCGGGTCACGATGTCCCACTCAAAGGGAGACTTAATCTTGTCAAATTGCCCTACAGGAACAGAGGCACAAATGGGGCGAGTGGGCCAAAACCTCCCACGTGTGGGGGCTTCCTTGGCGGCGGGGGGGGGGGGGGGGGGGGGGGGGGGGGAAAGAATTCTGCTCAGGCCTTTCTGGGGTCACCAGAGGCTGGTTTCCTGCTTCCCCAGGGCTTATTTTTCTAGTCAAACACCGTTCAGAGTTTTGCAGCATTAATTCAGCGCCAGAAAAATAAACACTGATGGCTCGATGCTTCGTTTAACATCTTCATAAACATAGTAAGTAGATTTTACAAACCAGTTGTAGATTTCTCCAACACGGAGCAAACTCAGACAGAAACATGTTGCAAGTTCAGAGCAGAGCTCCAGCCTTCAGCAAGCAAGTTAGTTTCTCTTTTACTTTAGTTCAGCAGGCAAGCAAGAGAAGCAGTTTCATTTTCAACAGACAGACTCGGAGCTCAGCATAGCTGCAGAGCTTAATATAGAGCCACGCCTAGGCTACTTCTAGTTTCAGTTTCCAAACAGTCCTCATTGGCTGACAGTTGCTATGCCTATTCATTGGCTGACCTCGCTACCAAACTCTATTCCAGTTCATGAATATACTCTGACCAACACAAAAGCCCCCAACATTTTCCTGCTGAA